GAAGAACTATCATGCTAGCAAACCCATAACTGGAGGACTGTCTGACAGCAAGCTCTGTAAGGCATTAGGAAAAGGCTCCTGAGGTCCACAGGAACCATCTTCACTCAAGAACAGCAGCATATCCTTGAGTCATTTGGAATTACACAGGAGATTCTGGAACAGTGTATAGGAAGTCAAGCGAAAGGACAAGACTTGAGTCTGACTTGTCCATGGAAGATGATCATTAAAAAAAATTGTTGGATATAGTTTTATGCCATCTGCATAATAAGAAAATATAAACTGATCCTGAGTGCATGGTTTATGAAGAGCTAGGCATTGTGCTTAGTGTTTTATTTATACTTTCTCACATAATCCTCCAACAATTCTAATTCATCAATGTTGTTATCCTTGAATTACACATAAAGACACCAGAGCTCAGAGAGGTGAAATGACTCCTGGATGGTAGATTTAAGATTTCAGACCATGATGCAATACCTTTATTTTTTATATATATTTTTTGAGACGGAGTTTCACCCTTGTTACCCAGGCTGGAGTTCAATGGTGCAATCTCGGCTCACTGCACCCTCCGCCTCCCAGGTTCAAGCAATTCTCCTGCCTCAGCCTCCCTAGTAGCTGGGATTACAGGCGCCTGCCACCACCCTAGGCTAATTTTTTTTTTTCCTGTATTTTTAGTAGAGACAGGGTTTCACCATGTTAGCCAGGTTGGTCTCAAACTCCTGACCTCAGATGATCCACCCGCCTCAGCCTCCCAAAGTGCTAGGATTACAGGCATGAGCCACCAAGCCCGGCCGATGCAATACCTTTAAAGGAAAAGCAGGTCTATCTGACTTTGTGATATCTAAGCAAAATGCCACTTCAACAGCATCACTTAGGATACAGGGCCTTGAGCAGCAGATAGCCTACTGCATGCTTAGGCTTCCCTAAGTCTCTGTATCTATTATTTATTTTAGAAATCATTTATATGTAGGCCAGGCGCGGTGGCTCATGCCTGTAATCCTAGCACTTTGGGAGGCCGAGGTGGGTGGATCACCTGAGGTCGGGAGTTCAAGACCAGCCTGACCAACATGGAGAAACCCCATCTCTAATAAAAATACAAAAAAAAAAATTAGCCAGGCATAGTGGCACATGCTTGTAAATCCCAGTTACTAGGGAGGCTGAGGCAGGAGAATTGCTTCAACCTGGGAGACGGAGGTTGCGGTGAGCTGAGATGGCGCCATTGCACTCCAGCCTGGGCAACAAGAGCAAAACTCCGTCTCAAAAAAAAAAAAAAATCATTTATTTTTTATTTTTTATTTTTATTTTTTATTTTTTTAAGGTTTTTTAGCTGTAAGTTTATTCAATGCAAAATAATCCTCTTCAATTTTACTGAGGTGGCTGACCACGTCCACGACCAAATCCGCCTCTAAACTGGAATTCGGTTGCTGACCCAGCCCCAGCCTCGGCTTTCTTGTCAGCACCAGGTGGTACAGCACTCCGTCTGTAGGTATCTCTGTCAGCTTCCCCTCTTGTGAGTCGCGCAGGTCGCTCACCCTCCAGACCTTTAGGCCGAGGCCTGCCAGTCTCTGGACGGCTACGGCGTAGGGTGGCAGGCACAATCTCCGGGGGCAGATGAAGGTAATCACGGAGATACTGGATACCCTCATTGGTAAGGTACCAGTAGAAATGTCTCCAGGCAAACTGTTCCTTCACGTAGCCTCGGGACTTGAGAGACTGCATGGCCTTCATGACATGAAGGTTGGGCACATTCTTGTCTGCCAGCTCCGGGTGCTTAGGCATGTGGACATTCTTCTTGGCCACCATGACTCCCTCCTTAAAAAGGAGTTCGTAAATGGCAATCCGGTTCTTCTTAGGCATCAACATCTCGGCGGCTGCAGGGTCCGGGGCCGGGGCTGAAAAAAATCATTTATATGTATACATAAGAGAGCTCAGACAGACTTTAACCTGTTTTCAGAGTGGTATGGTGAAGAGATAATGAAGTCTGGAATCACCTGGTTAGGGTCTACCTCTTAATTGGCTTTGTTACCTTGAACATCAGATTTCTGATTTTTTTTTTTTTTTTTTTTTTTTGAGATGGAGTCTTGCTCTGTTGCCCAGACTGGAGAGCAATGGCACCATCTTGGCTTACTGCAAGCTCCGCCTCCCGGGTTCACGCCATTCTCCTGCCTCAGCCTCCCGAGTAGCTGGGACTACAGGCGCCCGCCACCACGCCCGGCTAATTTTTTGTATTTTTAGTAGAGACGGGGTTTCACCGTCTTAGCCAGGATGGTCTCAATTTCCTGACCTCGTGATCCACCCGCCTCAGCCTCCCAAAGTGCTAGGATTACAGGCGTGAGCCACTGCACCCGGCCTTGATTTTTGATTTTCAAATGAGAAACTTCTTCCTGGCTTCCTTCCACAGGGTTTGTGAGGGTCCAGTGAGGTAACAGCTATAAAAGCATATTTATAGCTTATAAAATCCTCTACTGGGGTAAATAACTGTTAGCAATGGTTTCGTCCCAGTTAATGCTAATACTAGTAGTAATCTGCCTCTTCAGCCACTTTTTTTTTTTTTTTTTTTTTGAGACAGGGTCTCACTCTGTCATCCAAGCTGAGTGCAAGAGTGCAATCACTGCTCACTACAGCCTTGACCTCCCTGGGCTCAGGTGATGCTCCCACTTCAGCCTCCCAAGTAGCTGGGATTACAGGCACGTGCCACCATGCCTGACTAATTTTTCTATTTTTTGTAGAGACAGGGTTTCACTGTGTTGGCCAGGCTGGTCTCAAACTCCTGGCCTCAAGCAATATGCGCGCCTCAGGCTCCCAAAGTGCTAGGATTAACAGGTGTGAGCCACCACACCCAGCCACTCAGCCACCTTTTTTCTTTTTAATAAAAAGCATTTACTGGCCGGGCACAGTGGCTCATGCCTGTAATCCCAACACTTTGGGAGGCTGAGGCAGGGAGATCATCTGAGGTCAGGAGTTTGAGACTAGCCTGACCAACATGATGAAACCCCATCTCTACTTTAAAAAAAAAAAAAAAAAAAATATATATATATATACACACACACACACACATACACATATATGTGTATATATACACACACACACAGAAATCAGCCGTGTGTGGTGGTATGCACCTGTAGTCCCAGCTACTTGAGAAGCTGAGGCAGGAGAATTGCTTGAACCTGGGAGGCAGCGGTTGCAGTGAGCCGAGATCGAGCCATTGCACTCCAGCCAGAGCAACAGAGCAAGACTCTGTCTCAAAAAAAAAGAGCATTTACTGCATGCCAGATTGTAAGTATTCCCTAAAACGAGAATAAAATTGTTCATATTCCACTACCTTAGCAAAGCAGATACTGACTTTTTTGGTAGATCCTTCTTGTCCTCAAGCAAACATTTTTCCACAGTTGCAATGAAAGAAAAATGTGGGCCAGGCAGGGTGGCTCATGTCTGTAATCCCAGCACTTTGGGAGGCCGAGGTGGGCAGATCACTTGAGGTTAGGAGTTCAAGATCCAGCCTGGCCAAGCGTGGTGAAACCCTGTCTCTACAAAAACACAAAAAAAAATAGCGGGTGTAGTGGCAGGCGCCTGTAATCCCAGCTACTTGGGAGGCTGAGGCAGGAGAATCACTTGAACCCGGCAGGCAGAGGTCACAGTGAGCCAAGATCGTGCCATTGCACTCCAGCCTACGCATTAACAGAGAAACTCCGTCTCAAAAAAAAAAAAAAAAAAAAAAAAACAAAGAAGAAAGGAAGGGAGGGAGGGAGGATATTTTTGTTTTTCCCTTAATTTATTGTATTTGTTTTCATGTTGCTTGTGTTCATAATTAGCATTTAAATGACTGCATAATAGACTGGGCATGGTGGCTCATGCCTATAATCCTAGCACTTTGGGAGGCGAGCACTTTGGGAGGCCGAGGTGGGCAGATCACTTGAGGTTAGGAGTTCCAGACCAACCTGGCCAACACGGTGAAACTCCCCCTCTACAAAAAATACAAAAATTAGCCAGGTGTGGTGACCTGAACCTGTAGTCCCAACTACACTGGAGGCTGAGGCTGGAGGATAGCTTGAGCCCAGGAGTTCGAGGCTGCAGTGAGCCATGATCATGCCATTGCATTCCAGCCTGGGCATCAGTAAGACCTTGTGTCAGGCCCAGCGCGGTGGCTCACGCCTGTAATCCCAGCACTTTGGGAGGCCGAGGCGGGCGGATTATCTGAGGTCAGGAGTTCGAGACCAGTCTGGCCAGGATGGTGAAACACCAGCTCTACTAAAAATACAAAAAAATTAGGCAGGCGTCGTGGTGTGTGCCTGTAATTCCAGCTACTTGGGCATCTGAGGCAGGAGAACCGCTTGAATTCGGGAGGCAGAGGTTGCAGTGAGCCGAGATCACGCCACTCCAGCCTGGGCGACAGAGCGAGACTCCTCTCAAAAAAACAAAAAACAAAACCTTGTCACAAAAACACAAATTTCCTTCTGAAAGGGATTGTTCCAGTTTGCAGTGTGCCCACCTATTTATGACCATGTCATTTTTTAGACTCCGTCTAAAAAAAAAAAAAAAAAAAAAAGACTTGTATTTGGTGTGATTTTTTTTTTTTTTTTTGAGAGGGAGTCTTGCTCTGTCTCCCAGGCTGGAGTGCAGTGGCGCGATCTCCGGGTCACTGCAAGCTCCGCCTCCCGGGTTCACGCCATTCTCCTGCCTCAGCCTCCTGAATAGCTGGGACTACAGGCGCCAGCCACCGCGCCCGGCTAATGTTTTGTATTTTTAATAGAGACAGGGTTTCACCGTGGTCTCGATCTGCTGACCTCGTAATCCGCCCGCCTCGGCCTCCCAAAGTGCTAGGATTACAGGCGTGAGCCACCGCGCCCGGCTATTTAGTGTGATTTAATCGACTGTGCCCATCTTACTGCGGACACAGCCTGGAGCAGTTGAGGGAGACGGCAAGACCCCCCACGAGCCCGTTTAACACCATAACGCGCGTGCACTACAACCTCGCCGCCGGAGTCGAGGCTTCTGTTTTCTACAGCGTGGGAGTAGAGAGCAAACGCCAGCGAGGACGTTATATTGCACAGGCGTTATCACAGTACCCGAGAATTCGTGGGCGCTCCAGAGGATGGGTGTGGGCTGGTGGCGCAGGCGCGCTAGAGGCCTGTAGGGTCGGGGCGCCTGCGCAGTCGCTCTTCCTCAGGCGGCCGCCATGGCGGGACAGGAGGATCCGGTGCAGCGGGAGATTCACCAGGACTGGGCTAACCGGGAGTACATTGAGATAATCACCAGCAGCATCAAGAAAATCGCGGACTTTCTCAACTCGTTCGGTCAGCGGGCCAGCAAGGGGAGGCGGGGAGGAGGGAGGCCGCTGAGGCGCTTGGGCTGGGCTCCGGGGAGATGCTTTGAGAGGACTCCCGGAGCCTTCGGCTGTTGCGGGTTTTCACTTCCTCCTTCAGGTCCCACCTTCTTCCTCCCGTCCTGACCCTCAGGCTCCGCTGGACAGTCTCTGTAGGGTTTTCCTGCCCTACGCTGAGCTCCTGGCTTCCTGCCATGCCCCTGGACCCATTCTACAAGTCCTTTTCCCAGACGGGTCAGGCAGCCCATTCTCGCTCCGTGGTTCTCCTAAGGGGTCTCCCTGCCTCCTTTGTACTCTCCATCCATTCCAGTCCCCACTTTGCACTCAAAGTGAACATCCGGGACCGTGTCACTGCTCTGTTTGAAGACTGTTGACGGTTCCCCATCTTTAGGATCTGCTCGAAACCCTCTAGCGTCATGACTTTTAGTTGGACCCGTTGTCAACCACTCCCGTCTTGTCCATTTCTTCCTGTCTCCTGTGTGTGCTGCGGTGAGAGTGGTTGGAGATGAGGTCAGAGGGATGCCAGGATCTTGGAAGTCCTCTCTGTATTGCTAGTATATAGCTTGTGGTAGGTGTTCTGTCTACTTCTAGCCCGTTCCTCAGAGCTAATACAGGTCGGGTGCCTTCAGCAGAAAGACATCTTTACCAGAGTCTTTCCTAGGCATGGCCTGCTCGTGACAGCCTTAAATTCTTATGAACAGCAAGCAAAGTAATCAAGACTCCTACCCCTTCTTCTCCAAGTGTTTAAGAGAACTTGGCACTGGTTAGATTTTCTTGTGTAATTACAGGATATAGGGATGCATCTAGTGAACTTTTCCTTAACTAGTGTACTTTGGAAAGATTTTTAAATGAATTATTCTCTAGCTAAAGGAATGATGGCCTTAGGAGTGTAAAGGTGACAGAGCAAGAGATTGTCAGAAAGCATCAGCGAGAGATGCTAGAGCTCCATGAGGCCCTCTCTTAAGGCATAGTGGGAGACACAGAATAAGAACCACTTCCTACATTCAAAGAAGTTCTAATCTTGAAGATGAAATAATGACAACTTCAGAACAAAGAAGAGCATCATTTTTGTATTAAAGTATTTTCATACAGGGTGTATAGAACTATAATCATGGCTGGGTTCAATGGCTCATATCTGTAATCCCAGCACTTTGGGAAGCCAAGTTGGGAGGATTGCTTGAGCCCAGGAGTTCAAGACCAGCCTGGACAACATGGCCAGATCCTATCTCTACAAAAAAACAACAACAACAAAAAATTAGTTGGGCATGGTCATGCATACCTGTTGTCCCAGCTACTCGGGAGGCCGAGACAGGAGGATCACTTGAGCCCTGGAGGCAGTGAGCCATGTTCATGCCACTGCACTCCAGCCTAGGCGACAGAGTAAGACGCTGTCTCAAAAAAAAAAAAAAAAAATCCTGAGTTGGAGTCTGGTAATGTAATTTCATTTCTGAGAACAGAATTGTACCAGTAAACTTTTAATTCATTATGTTTATCTTTGACATAGTCTTGGTATATCATACCCATTAAATTTATAGTGAATGAGTCTTGGGACTGACTGAAAATTGAAAAGCTTAAGCTTAGGATTTGTAAAGGATAAATGTCTCTTTTCTTGCTTAATAGGCAAGGAGATATCAGCTCAGAGATTATGTCTGATTTGTAAGAGTCACATTTTATGATCAGATGGAGAGTAAAGACTTTTTATTTGGGCTTTCCAACAATTTTTTTTTTTTTTTTTTTTTTTTGAGACCAGGTCTCACTCTAGTCCAGGCTGGAGTGCAGTGGCATGATCTCAGCTCACTGCAACCTCGTCTTCCTGAACTCAAGCTATTCTTGTGCCTCTGCCTCCTGAGTAGCTGGGTTTACAGGTGTGCACCACCACACCTGGCTGATTTTTGTGCTTTTTAAAGTAGAGACAGGTTTTGGCCATCTTGCCCAGGCTGGCTCAAACTCCTGAGCTCAAGTGATCCACCCACCCCAGCCTCCCAAAGTGCTGGGATTACTGAGCCACTGTGCCCTGCCCCCAACAAATTCTAAACTAAGGAATTAGACATACAGAAGTCCAGTCTTTTGGAGCCAAAATAAATGACTTCCCTTAGCTTAGATCATTATCCTCCCTTAAAGTGATGATAATGGCCAAATGTTTGGAGTAATTACTATGTAGTTTTTAAAGATTTTAGAAAGTGAATTTAGAGAAAATAACAATTAAATTCAACTAAGTAAGAAGAGAATTATAATGCAAGGTTAACAGTCAAAGGAATTTGACTTAGTAGTTAGGTGTACCTGAGGCAGGTTCTTAAAGATTGGCATGGTGGCTCATGCCTATAATCACAGCACTTTGGGAGGCTGAGGCGGGCGGATCACCTGAGGTCAAGTTTGAGATCAGCCTGGCTAACATGGTGAAACCCTGTCTCTACTAAAAATACAAAATTAGCTGGGTGTGGTGGGCACCTGTAATCCCAGCTACTCAGGAGGCTGAGGCAGGAGAATCGCTTGAACCGGGGAGGTGGAGGTTGCAGTGAGCAGGGATCGTGCCACTGCACTGCAGCTTGGGCGAAAGATTAAGACTCCGTCTCCAAAAAAAAAAAAAAAAAAAGAAAGAAAGAAAGATTGACAATATCACAATGCCACAATGCAAGAGTTTAGAAAAAGACCCCACAAGCTGCAAAACTGGATAAATTTTAAGGATAGACTTGAGTATGTTTTCTTGGTATTGGATGATTTAGGATGACTGTGTGTGGGATGTTTTTTTCCCATCCTAAGCCATTAGCAGGCTTGTACAGTTGTCCCTTGAACAATACATGTTTGAACTGCAGGGATCCATTTACAGGTAGATTTTTTTTTGAGACAGATTTTCACTCTGTCACCTAGGCTGAAGTGCAGTGGCATGATCTCGACTCACTGCAACCTCCACCTCCCAGGTTCAAGTGATTTTCTTGCCTTAGCCTCCCGAGTAGCTGGGACTACAAGTGTGTGTTACCATGCCCGGTTAATATTTGTAGTTTTAGTAGAGACAGGATTCGCCATGTTGGCCATGCTGCTCTTGAACTCTTGGCCTCAAGTGACCCACCTCTGTTCAACCTCCCAAAGTGCTGGGATTATAGGCATGAGCCACTGTGCCTGGCCATAGGTGGATTTATTGCGATAAAAGTTATACAGTATGCCTGCCTCTCCTGCTTCACCTTCCACCTCTGCCACCCATGAGGTAACAAAACAACCTCTCTTCTTCCTCCTCTTCCTCAGCCTAACTTAGCAGGAAGACAATGAGGATGAAGACCATTATGATGATCCACTTCCATTTAATGAATAGTAAATATGTTTCCTTTTCCTAGTGTGTTTTTTTGGTTGTTGTTTGTTTTTTGAGACGTAATCTTACTCTGTCGCCCAGGCTGGAGTGCAGTGGCGCGATCTCAGCTCACTGCAAGCTCTGCCTCCCGGGTCATGCCATTCTCCTGCCTCAGCCTCCAGAGTAGCTGGGACCACAGGCGCCCGCCACCATGCCTGGCTAATTTTTTTGTAATTTTTAGTAGAGATGGGATCTCACCATGCTAGCCAGGATGGTCTCGATCTCCTGACCTTGTGATCTGCCCGCCTAGGCCTCCCAAAGTGCTGGGATTACAGGTGTGAGCCACTGCACCCAGCCTCCTCATGTTTTTTTAATAACATAGTCTTTTCTCTAGTTTACTTTATTGTAATACAGTATGTCATATATGTGACTTCCAAAATATGTGTTAATCAGCTGCTCCTGTTATCAGTAAGGTTTCCAGTCAACAGTAGGCTATTAGTTTAGTTCTGGGGAGACAAAAATTATATGCAGATTTTCTTTTTCTTATGTATTTAAAATAGAGATGAGGTCTTACTGTGTTGCCCAGGCTGTTCTCAAACTCCTAAGTTCAAGTGATCCTCCTGTCTCAGCCTCCCAAAGCGCTAGGATTACACGTGTGAGCCACTGTGCCAGCCTGTGCAGATTTTCAACTGCACAGAGGGTTGATGTTCTTAACCCCTGAGTTGTTCAGGGGTTAACTCTAACATGTTTACGATGATATGGTTTGGTGCTGTAAAGATTCAGTAAGAATTTACTGCCAGGTGCAGTGGCTCACGCCTGTAATCCCAGCACTTTGGGAGGCTGAGGTGGGCAGATCATGAGGTCAGGAATTCGAGACCAGCCTGCCCAACATGGTGAAACCTGTCTCTACTAAAAATACAAAAAATTAGTTGGGCGTGGTGGAGTGCACCTGTAATCCCAGCTACTCAGGAGGCTGAGGCAGGAGCAATCCCTTGAACCCGGGAGGCAGAGGTTGCAGTGAGCCGAAATCGTGCCACTGCACTCCTGCCTGGGCGACAGAGCAAGACTCCATCTCAAAAAAATAAAATAAAATAAGAATTTACTTTGAGGCCACGCACGGTGGCTCATGCCTGTAATCCCAGCACTTTGGGAGGCCAAGGCAGGTTAATCGCTTGAGCTCAGTCGTTCGAGACCAGCCTGGCCAACATGGCGAAACCCCATCTCTATAAAAAATATAAAAATTAGCCAGGCATGGTGGCGCATGCCTGTAATTCCAAGCTACCTGGGAGGCTGAGGCATGAGAATCACTTGAACCCTGGAGGTGAAGGTTGCAGTGAGCCAAGATCATGCCACTGTACTCCGGCCTGGGTGACAGAGTGAGACTCTGTCTCAAAGAAAAATAATTTACTTTGAGGGAGCATCTGAAGTTCTTTAAATATGTAAGAAATTCTGTAGTCCTTACCCTGACCACAGAGAATCTGCATGAGCCATGTATTTTGGAGAGAGAATTGTTTTTCTAAGATAGTGAATGACTTTCTGAAAAGCATTTACCCTGTGATTCCAGCTGGTGAGAGTAGAGTCACAGTCTCCCACGTGAACTTGAGGACGTACAAATCAGAATGTAGCAATAACATCCTAACACTAGGCCTATTCTGTACTTTGGAATTGGTGAAGCTTCTAAAAACAGA